GACATACCAAACATCTCCTCATAATTATAATAATACTCGGTTCTAATTTATCTGCGATCGACTGGTACTACTACATAATTTTGTAATTCATGACGATCTCCATAGCTCTTTGCTTCATAACAAGTAAAAATGTATGTCGTTAAATCAACACAAACATTCTCCGAAGCAGCATTGTACTAATAGAATAAGACATCCCTGTAATATCTGCACTGATGGAATAATATAGCCTTGTAACATCTGTACTGCAACTGTCATGCGTATTAATTGAAACGTCGCGTTCCCGGAATCAAGCCGATTCTCTACAATGCTAATACCGTATTTACATACATATAATAGCTACTTAACACGGAACTGGGAAATTTGTTGTGCTTACCATGTTTACTGAGCAGTTATTATCTTTAAATGATAGAAGATAAATCGTTTTCATTACTGTGTATCTTGTATAAATAGCTAACAAAAATCAGATTAAAAAAAAAGTTGATAAAAATTTAAAACATTGAACGTAACGAGACAATTATTTCTGCTTCGTGTTCGAACTGGAAGATCAGCTGAATGAATATATACTCATAGGATATAGGAGAAGAATGTGTACAAAAGAGAGGCGAAAGATACAAGAGGGATATTCAAACTCATAAAACAAACTGACAACGCCATGGCAAAAAACGAAAAACGACGAAAAGACAAACAGTTGTAACAGTTACAGGACACCAAACACAAAACAGAAAACTAGTTTGAGCAACACGAACCCCATAATAAACCGGGGTGGTCTCAGGTGCTCCGAAAGGGTTAGCAGATTCTGCTCCACATGTGACTAGTCACTTGCTTTCCTTGCATTGTCTTTCAAATATTAAGAAATATATTTAGCTGTCTAAGCCGTATATTTGCAGTATAAAGTCTGTCAATATTTTGTACATAGCTGATATGGATATTTATTGAAATAAACGCTTTAATACAGTAACGTTTTTCTAAGTGGAAAGTTTAAGAACGTATGCCATAATCAATATGACATTACATTTTTTCATATCATATGTTTTATCAACCCCAGACTGAGAGTCGTTAGCTCTTTAACACTTCATACAGTTTCAACAAATTGACAGTAATACAAAAGGTAGCAAGTCATTTCGTACCTTGACTAGTTCGTACCGCTGAAATTTCGTACCCCAAATTACCATTTCGTACCCAATATTTACCATTTCGTACCCACGATAAAAACCATTTCGTACCCTATGGGTCAAATGCATCTACCATTTCGTACCTCATGGACTAAATACATGTTTACTATTTCGTATCATATATTTGTAAATGTCTCATTTTTTTAAGATATAAGACATTTTGAGATGATTTTGATTTTTTTTAATATAACATAAATAAAATGCATCCAGCCGTAGAAATGTTATAAAGACCGATGATTGGTTTGATTAAACAGAACTTGGAATTTTCCATGAGGTACGAAATGGTAAACATGTTAATATTCCATGAGGTACAAAATGGTCAAGGTACGAAATGGTCAGGGTACGAAATGGTTTTTGCCAGGGTACGAAATGGGGGTACGAAATGGTTAGGGTACGAAATGACTATAATTCATACAAAACATAAGAATTTCAAAATCAGCGCTATTTTGATGCATAATTACATGTCTTTATAAAATTTGCATCGAATCACTTCCTTAACAAAAATGAATTAATTTGTATCTAAAAGATAAAACATACCTCTATTTCCGATAGTTTGAGTTTCATCAAAACGTCTTTTATTCATTGCTTTTTAAACTAACTTAAAGAATTATACAAAAATCTATCGAAATTCAAGTTTTAAAGAAATTTAATTTTTTTTAATCATTTATATTTTGGTCAACAGTTCAAACATACAACCATAGATGTAATTACATCTATGATACAACTAATATTTGAACACAGAAGCTCTGATACACTCCTTACAGTAATGATTGAAAAACGTTTTGAATAAAAAAAAATAAAATTGCTGTTTCTACCTTTGATAAGTAATTCTTGAAAATAAAATGAATCAGAAGTTATGTGATTCATAAATCAATTAACCCAAAGACAACAATAACCAAAATGACCTCTAAAGGGCAACATACAGCCTTCAACAATAGACAGGTGTCTATACCATATTTCCAACTCTATCTTGCCCAATCTAATCAAAATATAGATATGTGATTTCGTTATCCTTATATGAGCTTATATATACAAGCACGCGAGTTAATATAGATAAAAATTTTAATAAGATTGTATTTTGCTCTTTTAATTCAGTTCTATTGCTTGAAATTGCAGTGCATCCAACCTATATCACCATGAAGGGATATGTGTGGTATTTATTATCCTACACCCTCAGCCTACACCCACAGATGATGATGATGGATAGTTGCTTAACGTCCAGCGGCAAATAATATGCATAATCAGGATGAGAACATGAAAATATTAACCCTGCTTTGTACTAGTCCGACACGCTGAGCCGGATTTTTAACGTGCTAGTTCACAAGGTAACAGCCCGCAGGAAGACATGCCACCTTACCTGGACACATTATTCTGACTCCTAGCCGACCAGTTACACCCACAGAAAATCGCATTGCTCTATTTTTTACCACATTTATACAAAAACAGTCTCTTGGGCCAAAAATTAAACATATACATTGCATATATATATATATATTCCATGACTCACCATACAAAGTGTGTCAACAAGCTCTGTGCATAAAGAATATCAAACACCACCATTTGATTAACATCTGGCAACCAATAGCCCAAGAGATCTTACTAGAATTGGTAACAGCTTTTGCTATAAAGTATGAATTTTAAAAGCTCAGTAAATGATATATTGTGAAACTATTTCAATGTTGTCATAACAATGCATAAACTGATCTACCGATCTTTGAGATGAATGAGTTCTGAAATGAACAATGTTAGAATCATTATATCGGGACTATATTGCAATCACCATGACTGCCCGTCAGTTCGTCACACTCTTCTCAGGAACTAATGAACATGAGGACTTCATTTGTAGTTTGTTCTTGTGTTATGCCGTTACACCACTGTCCCAAGTTACGGGAGGGTTGGTGCCTTCAAACATGTTTAACCCCGCCACATTCTTTATGCGCCTGTCCCAAGTCAGGAGCCTGTAATTCAGTGGTTTTCGTTGGTTCATGTCTGTCTTATTTGTTTTTCGTAAATTGTTTTGTTTTAAATTAGGTCGTTAGTTTTCTCAATTGAATTGTTCATATTTTTCATGTCGGGGCCTTTTATAGCCGAATATACGATATTGATTTTTTCATTGTTGAAGGCCGTACGGTTACCTATATAATTGCTTACATCCACTTCAATTGAACTTTGGTGGATAGTTGCCTCATTAGCAATCATACCACATCTCCTTATCTTTATATTCATACTTGACAGCTTGACAGTGATGAGCACTTTTCGGATCTCTCAGGTACCTACTTCCTGTTTGTCAATACTACGAATTAATCAATATGCTGAATGTACTTAACATGTTTCGTCACAAATTTTCGAAAACTACAGAACAGGATGTTTTCATATCTGGTTAGCAGCTTAACAGTGGTGAACTGTAAAATGTGTACGCTTTTAGGATCTGTTGCTGTTTTCCGATGCGTTGAATTACGAGTGCGGGTATGCTTAGCACGACTTAGCGTACATTTTTCTTTACGTTTACAGTTAGATAATTTCTATTACACATCTAAGAGCATTTGTCAATCTAATGTATTTTCAGCAGGTAAAACTATATCATCTGCATATTAAAACAAATTACATATTTTCTCTTCCTCTACCAAAATTTAAACATTTAAATTTTTAACATCATCTTCCAAAGTATTTACAAAAAAAATTGGAACTTACTAACCAAAATGTAGCTTAAAACTGAAAAAGAAAATGGAATATGGGGCGTAATGTTATATCGTTTTGTCCTGTGTAGATATTAAGGACAACGCGATGTACTCTCAAACACACAAGGAAAAAAGGAATAGCCGACTAACTCTTTCACTATTTATTGACCTACTTTTCTATTTCCACGCATAAAGGACCACATAAACACATGTTTGTTCAAATTTTACATTATCATTTAAAAATACTGACCCTCCTTATCTTAACATAGCTGTCCATCGTTTAAAACAACAGTGCGTTCAGTCCAATTTTATAGATTTACTCAGTCACCTTTTATAAAGATATTTTTTTTTTAAATCAGACCTATTGCCAGCGACTTTCGTAGATTTCAATAGAACTGACGAGGAGATATCTTCAAGATTCAAAACAGTTTGCACCTAAATGTTTTGTATTGAAATGAATTGTTACGTAACTGTTTGTTTTTAAATTACAACCTATACATTTAGTGCAATTTTAAAGCATATGACAAAATATGGATTCAATAAACGTTTTATTACCATACAACAGATGTAAACCATCCAAAGATGACATTTAGATCAGTTTTAGCTTCTATCGTAGATCTCCCATTAACATCGTTTAATATGGAAATGATATCTGGCTCGGGACAAATCTAAATAAAAAATGAGGTAACGCGAAACAATTCCTATCATCTAACAAATATGTTTGTTGTTTAAAGTTCTGTATATGCACCACAAACTAATGTATCTTAATGTGTAATACGTTAGGGTGATGTTTAATTTGTTTACTGCTTTTCTTATCTTAAGGCAATTCAAAATTGACAAATTGTATGAACACCTCTATTGATGAAGACCGTATGTTCTTAAAAGACTTTTATTTTTGTGATGTCGGGTTGCTGATTCCTTGATATATACTTCCAAAAATCTACTTTGGCAAATTGTATTAGCGTTTTGTATTCGGACATTCGTTGAAGGAAAACATCGTGTAACAAACATTATTACGCTCTATTTTCATATATTTACTTGTAAAGTTTAATCATGTTTTAGGTTGAAGCTGTCACACTGTGGTTAAATCTACATTAATTAAAAGTATTTTTCAAGATAGCATTCAAATTAATAAACTGCTATTTCTAAAGTATTTACTAACTTGGTATTGATTCGTTTAAAAGTTCACGATAACTTTATGAAGAAAAGAATGAACAATATATTTACATATACCACTAATTAGGATATATAGAACCTGGTTGTAAATATATGCGTTTATTTCACAACCAATATAACGACGTGAAGTATGAAATAGTTATTTACTAAATTTGCATAAATTCACTAATTGCAGATTTTACAAAGAGTTAGAGACAATAATAGTACACAGCCTGGCCTGTTCATATTTTTGAGATGGCAATTAGTTGTATCATTGAAATCGAACAGGTGTCATCGAGTTCTATGTGATCGAATTGATAGCAACGTTGAATTATTAAACACGGACATATTGCTTGACCAACTGGACATATCATAAGTAATTGGACTAAAAACCACTTATAGATTTCAGTTACAGTTCGTGGATTGGGTCATCATTTAAATATATACATTGACCTGGTGACTTTGTAGGAAGAAGATGCTGTACATGTGAAATCCTACTGATCAGTCAGCATTACTATTTTAAACTATAAACGGATAGAACAATTATAGTTTATCTCTTTAGCGATGCCTTGGAGTGATGCAATTCAATCCTTATTTATTCAGCAGAATTGATTGAGTTCAAGATTAACCATAATTAAAATTGATTACGTTATGGAATATGGTTTATTACTTGACAGAACGTGTTCTAAATATAAATATAGTACATTGTAATTGTTTTACACGGACATTACCCCCGAGGCAAATTTGATGACATGTCGGACAACACTTCTATTTTAAAGTTACATTTAATTTTCTTCTAACAGTGACATACTCCTCTGGGGCTTACCTTACCAGTAAACCACATCTATTGGTTTAACACCGATTTGCAATTATAGATCGCAGACTTTATTAGTAAGCGAAAAGTAAATATTTTGACAGCAAATGATGTAAAAAGTGGAAGTGCAAAATGTCGTTTTTACCTGGAGGTCAAAGGGTATCTACCATGAAAAGGTAAAAACATTAGTAGTATCTATAGTTGTAGTGGCGACATTAATTATTTTTTTGTAACTGGTAAAAGTTACATGCTTACTTTCTTGTTTTTGTTGTTGTTTAAATACAAAATTTTACGAAGATTCCATTCGCCAATTAATTGTTGTTCATTGCTGTGTTGTGTTTGTAACTTTAAGATAAAGCACAGTTAGCATACTTTCTTCGTTTTCTTTAAAGTCAATTTTGTCTTGCTTTACTAAACCCAAGACATTACTGCCGTATAGGAGTGTGATTTATATATCATCTAGTTACACTTTCAGTTCATTTATTTAATTTTTTTATCGTAATGAGGATTTTTGACAATCTTGGGTGGTATTATTTTTATTTGAATTAATACCTCTTCTCTACGCATGATCATACGAATTCATATACTGTAAGTTACATGCTATCTTGTGAAATACGCTAGAAAACAACCCAGTTCTTAATTTTTGCTGTAAATTAATGCTATTTCTACAACTCTTCTGCAAGATACAATGTCTACTATTTTTTCATGTTTCATTTGACCGTTATGGAATAACCGTTTCCAGATGATATCGGATATGATCCTTATGTCGTAACTACAATACCATTCCCTTTTCACGAATGTGACCTACCGAATTAGACTATTTACCTGATTTGTAATAACATAAGCAACACGACGGGTGCCACATGTGGAGCAGGCTCTGATTACCCTTCCGGAGCACCTGAGATCACCCACAGTTTTTGGTGGGGTTCGTGTTGCTTAGTCTTTCGTTTTCTATGTTGTGTCATCTGTACTATTATTTGTCTGTTTGTCTTTTTATTTTTGGCCATGGCGTTGTCAGTTTGTTTTCGATCTATGAGTTTGACTGTCCCTCTGGTATCTTTCGTCCCTCTTTGATAAAGTTTCCTTTGGGTAAATTAATTTTTTTTTAATTCAATACATCTTGCTAAATTGGGGCGGGTAAACAAACTTTCAAATAATAATAAGGTTTGACTATAAGGCTACTAATATAGTAAGGTGTAAAGCAGCAACATTTTCTCCATCCGGTGACCGCTAAAAAAATCCAGCTCAAAATGTCTATCTAGAACAAAGCAGGGTTTATATTCATATCACATTATTATATTCTCATCCTGAATTTACATTTAATTTGTCACTGGATCTGAAACAGTCACCACCCATCAATTGTGTGTTGTCTACCTTTACCTGTGTAAATAGTCATCGTTTTGATAAATGTACTTTACTGATTGCAACACGATGGGGATTGGTAACTTCCTTGTATTGGTCATTTTCATGCGGTCACATTCTGTAAATTTAACTTATTCACTATATAAAAAATGTTAAAATCACCAAAATTATTACAGCTTTTTAGAATTTTGGCTTTCGATACTTTTTTACTTCGCTATTGGTTTGGCATTCCAAATTTTGTTATATCAGCGCCACTGATGAATCTATAGACGATACGCATGTCATGCGTTGTCAATTATGTGCCTGGTATGTTTGATTCGTTTTAAATATAAAACACTTTGATTTAACATTTTCAGAAACGTAATATATGTATTTGGTCAGCTAATTTCCTTATAAACTAAAGAACAACACAGTTTTTTACAAATTCTAAATTAGACCTTGAATTTTGATAGAAGTGTAACATCTTGGATAAGCAGGAAGTTTTGACACTTAACAAAACTTTGGATGATTTAACATAATACCAGGATAAACACAAAATATTACAACGATTTACCAGTCGATATTTTGTAGATTATAGTTGAATATTTTTTTTAATTTTTGTTTTGTTAAAAATCATCTTCTTATAGATGTAGAGATTTTGTATTGCAGATGAGCGAATGATACGCGTTTGACAGAAATTTTAAAAGTAGCACGAGAACGACACAAAGAAGTCAAAGCGTTTATTGTCGAACTACGTCTATGTTTAAATATATATGATAAAGAGACGCACCCCCTACCCTCTAAAAAAATAACAAAAACAAAACCAAAAGCAAAAACAAACAAAAGAAAACGTGCACTGAGATGTTCTATCAAGATCAAAGTTACAAGTTTTTTCATCAAGCTTTTTTGGGACCCCTCCCCCTTCCAAAAAAAAAGAAAGAGAAAGAGAAAAGACTAGATATATATGGTGATTTCTTGCCACTTTTGTTTCTGCAAGGGGTTCCAATAAGATTTTATCAATGTGTGAATGGTTTCTCCGATGGTTGTAAATGACACATTATCAGACACAATATATAAGTTTTCAAATGCTATATTGTCCGACAACAACCAGACAAACCAGGATATGCTGGGCACAGGACCAATCCTACTCAAATCTCTTCTGATTGAATTTCAAAGGCTGTGCACCTAGTCACAGTTTAGGCTGTTTTCTACATTAAAAGGAAATCAAATGGATTAAAAATAACATATTTAGTAATGGTGATTAAATAGTTGCAAATGATGAATATTTCAATAGTTTTATTCAGTGAATAGACCTAGACGAATCAGATAAGACTTGATAAAGGAAACCCCTGATCAATCTTTTTCTGAATGGAACTTCAAAGGTTGTTAGCCTAGTCACAAGTTAGGTTTAAATTGAGAACAGGTATTTTCATGCGCAGTTACTCTTCTAATATAAGTCAAAAAATAAAATATGTTAGGGTGACATGTCTTCCATTGTTACCTTTTGGACTATAAGCATGTTAAAATCCCGGATTAGCGTGTCTGTGAAGGATTTTTTAGTACGAGTTCTTGTTCTGAAATGCGTGCAATAATAGCCCTTGGACGTTGAACACAATGTAATGCACCATCATCATTATCATCATCATCATCATCATCATCTAAACAAACTAAACAAACGGTTATTGGTCGAAAATCGTCTGACTTTTCTGAAACGCGGGCCATCTGAGCGGTATATTGGCTCATTTCAAGCTTTAGTTTTTCAGTATATCCGGATTCAGTATCAATTAAGAGTATATATATTGATGTAAGAAAATACCTGTAACATTTAAAAAAATGAAAATAAACGGAAGTGAAAACAAGAAGATTGATATTATGTTTACATAATTAATGATATGTACTACCTTTCAATACACCTTTCAATACACAACTCGTAGTCTGCCCTTAAGAACAACTTTGTACATTCTTGACGGTGAGTGCAAATAAAATCTTGTTTACAACTAATTTTAATGGGTGCGGTTCTTTGCAGATTTAAACATTAGCGACACTTAGTTTAAGTGTTATCCTTTGTAGATTTGCTGTTTGATGTATTTTGCCATTGTAATTTTTGTTACTCATATAATTTTCATTTTTACATCTCAACTTTTTTTATCTGTCGACAACACGGAAGTCCTCAGAATATCCACTTTGTTTCTTTAATATACTTTTGTATTTAATTTATTATCATCGAATATTTTTTAGGTTCTATTCTAAAATTTGACAATATACAAAAAGGTATCTATGTTGATTTCTCCTAATTTGCTACCTATTAAATCAAATAGCAAGTATTAAGACATAAACATACGTTAAATACTCTAGCATAGACATAAGTCACAATCTATTCACAAGCAACAGTTTTGTTTTACAAAAACAATTGTATCTTATACCTTGTATATATGTTGTTATTTCAGATTGTTTATTTAAAAAATATGATTGGTATGTGTTATAATGCCTCGTGTGGGTCCATGGTTGATATGATAAAATATTTGATTTGATTTGAATCTCAATTTATAAATATGGGTAAAATGACAGTTAAGATGTTGAACTCTCTTTTTAAGTTTTTATTCAGAATCAGGAATTTCATTTCTCGTCCTACGTACAGAGTCACGACAAACTAGCACGCGTATTTCCGTTGATACCCATCACAGCACGCGAAGCGAACATAGACTTCCCGTGACCTTTTGAAGTTTTGGTGAATTCATATGTCCTCTTTACCGACTTGGACTGATAATAAAGACTATCTGACTTTATAATGCATGGTACTTAAGCTGAGATAAGGTATTTTGATCGACTGAACCTTTTTATAAAGATTATTTAAGGAAAGCGTATTATTACTAAAAAAAATTGAAAATAACACTTTATTAATGTCATGAGTCCGAAACACTTTTCTAGACTTGCTCTCATAAAGAACGCTATAAACCAAATGTTTGAAAGCGAGGGATGTGTGTAAGTACCAAAACACGTGAAGGGCTAACTGACCAGAAGGGACCTTTCAAAATAGCCAAATACATCTAAGGTCAACATTGACTGCGGTAGTTGGATCCTTTTCTTAGTTTCTTAATAATAGCTAAATTTACCAACAGGCAATTAAAGAAAAGTATGTTATAAAGCATGTCAGTACCAAAGCACTGACTACACTTGGGGACTATTAGTCCACTAGCAGCGGTATATATGAACTCAGTGCTCTAAAAATGAAAATAACGCTTAATAAATTGCATGCGTCCGAAGCGTTTTCTAGATTTACCTTCATCTGGAACTATTAAAACTAAATACTTGAAATCCAAGTATGTTTAAGCATTGAAACACGTGAAGAGCATATGACAAATAAGGACATAACAAAATAGCAAAATCTATATAAGGTCAACTTTTCCTGAAGGAGTAGGAACTTTATTTCTTTAATAATTTCTTAATTTATTCATATTAGAAAAACCATTACATGGTGACGGTAATAACTATTAAGGACATGGAATATTGTTTAACCTAGAAATATAAATTCATAATACTAGTATACATAAACTGACATGGAATACAGACCACTGTTTCAATCAACTGGACAAAAGAAAAACAAACACAGTTATTGTATTATGTTGTTTTTTCACAAAAAAACAAAAACAAGGGCAAAATTGTCAATTTTCACTATTGAACATTACAAAAAGCCGAATCTTAAACACTACAGTCCATATCACCCTGAAACTTTGTAGTATGTTTCTCTTACACAAAGGTACTTATTGCAAAAAAAAATAATCTTATTTTGCACCATGGACCTAATTTGGACACAAAATATCATGGCTGGTCACATATGACAAGACGAATACACCATATAATAAGATCTACCAAAAGAAATATACGGTGTATCTAATGCTGAAAATAGTAAAACTTTGCATCAAACAGTTCAATCAAGCGTAACCAATATAAGGCAAATCTCGCGGCTCTTTTAATTCTGTGTTTATGAATAAATAGAACTTGATACGTGACTTTGGTTTTAAATGGCAACTTCAAAATTTGCAACAATCGACAGATGTTTTAAAAGAATTTCCAACAGTCAATAGATGCCCTTGGTAATGAAATGAAGTTATCTTGCAGATGCTTAAGGTCTGATCTATTTCGTTGGTCTCATTTGTCATTCTAGCTCTAAATAGGAGGTATCGATTGTATACTAGATGATGAACACGTTATAAATTTGGTGTGTCCGAAGCGCTTTCTGGATTTACTTTTATCAGTAACACCCAAAGGGAAAAGCATGAAAGACTAGGGTGATTAATTAAGGGGTAATATGACCAAGAAGGACATAAGAGAACAACCAAATCCACCTAAGATAAAAAAAAAATCTAAATAAATCAACGGCGATTTTAAGAATCATGTTAGCGTATAGAGCTGATGATACCATCGGAGACTAGCAGTCGACCACCAGTGGTCTTGACCCAGTGTCAGAAAGTTAAAATAACACTTCTGAATTTACCTTCCTTTGAAACGCTCAAACCCCCTCACCAAAACAGATTTGCCAAGTTTTTCATAATTTTTAGATTTCTTTAATCTTTAGTTTTATCCAAAGTTTATATTTAACCATGCATATTAAATTTAATTTATTACACAAAAATAACATATTGAGAAAAGCGTCAAGCAAAACTCACACCAAAACCGACGAAAACTAGGCGGGTATCTCCCTATCAAATATGTATTCCCCTTTTTCAAATTTCTGAATAAAATTGTCTTATAACACTGAATGAATAAATCTAAGGTCACCTCACCACCCCCATGTTATAATAGTTTATCACATTATAGATATGTACTAATATATAAACAGGAAAACACCGCAATTGTTCTCTGGATGTTCGCCCTCTGCACCGGAAGTTGTGATATCGTCTGATAAACAAACTTATTGTTTACATAAGAAGTATTTATTAAATATTTAACAAATTCAACGAACTGAAAATGAATGACCTAACCCACTCAAAACAATATTTTTCACAGTAAGTACATCATACATGCATATTCATATATATATATATATATATATATATATATATAGAAGAGACAAGGAAAGAACAATAAAAAAGTGAAATTTAAAAGGAAGATTCAATAATAAGAAAAATGAGTTTGAAAAGGGAATTGCTGGTTAAAAGCATCAGGAATAGGCGACTTCGCAGTGTGTAAGTCTCTTTATATACATTTTTGTTTTCGTGCATGAATTATGCAGATCTTCTATGCGATTGCATAATAATACGTACACTGAAATTATGATTCCAAGGCTTTCTTATTATTTGTATATAGTTCACAAGCACGCACAACAAATATAATGTAACAGACACTTTTCGAACCATATGTTAAAACTGCACTAAGCAGAAGTTGCAGAAAATTACAGAATAAATTCTGTATGAAATTATCATCCTATAGTCTTTCAATGTTTTGCTCTTGGGCGTTCCAAATAAAATTCAATCCAGAAAAGTGTTTCGGACGCACTAAATTTTCAACATGTTATTTTCATTATCTACTCAAGTACATTCTTCTGGCTTTGAGCTTGCCAGCTGTTGATCTGGATCGGACTCACGATCTCATTCTCTAGATACCATCGATGCTATTCTACAAATTGCAAATTGAATAAGAATTATCAAACATGCCAGACAAACGTAGATGATAATTTGGATTAAATATTTTGAAATAGTCTAATACTCTTCTAGTACGCATCTAGACTTGAATGTCTCGTGTATATCAACTGCACATTTTTTATCTTCAGACACAGTCTGGCAAATATTGCAGATGCGTGGAAAGGATACACAGTTGGTGGGAGACGTGGATCCACCTTAAGTTCAATACGCATGTCTGCCGGAAATGCACTCGATTGTGCTGCCAGACACGAGTCTTTAGAATGGTAAGTATTTTTTTTATTTTTGATTATATGTACAATCTACCAGCCATGTCCAGAGAATTTTTCATGTTACATGTTATGTTCATTTAAATATCCGGGTTCACCATTTTTTCATACACTGTATTTCAGCCGACATTTTTTTCTCCGTTATTTAATGTAAATTAGAAGCTATGTTCTGATTTTGTTTTCATTATTCAAGAAAATATATTTCATATAGTTTTAAAGTTTTCGCGCAGTTTTTCTTTTCGTACGTATGTAGAGATGTATTTAAATTGATTGTCTATTTTTGGTCGCTTTATATTATGTAATATTCTTATGACTACATTGTATTTTTGTTAAATTTACAAAATTTTAAACTGCAGCATTCAGATCGCTGTTATACAGATGTTCCAAAAGAAGAAGTTACAGGAAGGCGAACTTTATACATTACAAGAACATGTCAGGTATATTAACGCTAGAGTAAAATTAAAAGAAAACTTTTCTAAATGCAAGATACAATTAACTAAATATGCATCTCGGACTTCTTTTGAACTGAATTTTACTGTGCGTATTGCTGTGTGTTTGTTTTTTTCCACATTGGCTAGAGTATAGTTAGAGGTATAGGAGAGGGTTGAGATCTCACAAAACATGTTTAATCCCGCCGCATGTTTGCGACTGTCCCAAGTCATGAACCTCTGGCCTTTGTAAGTATTGTATGTTTTTTTAATTTTGGTACATTTATATGTTTCGGAGTTTAGCGTGACGTCCATTTTCGCTGAACTTGTTTACATTATTGTTTAGGGGCCAGCTGAAGCCCGCCTCCGGGTGCGGGATTTTCTCGCTGTGTTGAAGACCCATTGGTGGCCTTGGGCTATTTTCTGCTCTTTGGTCGAGTTGTTGTCTCTTTGACGCATTCCCCGTTTTCATTCTCAATTTAATTTTCCAAGTTATGTCTGACTTTCTCTTATTTGTACTTGTTAGAGGAAGTTGAATTTCTCTTTAAATACCTATATATACTACTAGTAAGTCAGAAATATGCAACTCTCATGTTGTTTTAGAGAATGTAAACTTGATTAACCAAGAAATTGTGACATTATTCCCTTTCCAATTGCGTTAGAAATGTTGAATCAAATTCCGTATTCAGTTTTTCAATTTTGTATACCCCACTCCAAAGGAGATGGTACACAGTTTTACCCCTGCCTGTCCGTCATTCCATCATTCTGTCTGTCTGTCCCATGAAATATACCCCAGTTGCATACCTGTGATTCTTTGTATCAGTTATAAGAACCATTTAAAACGTGCAGTACATGATTCAGTTTCTTAATCTTTAATTAAATTTTTAGTTTTAAGAAATGTGTGATAATATGAAAACTAAAATCAAATGAAAATCAAATGAAAATAAGTTATCAAGTTGATATAGTGCTTGTGAAATCCAAATGTAAATTTAAACGAGATTTAATTTCAGTTCAAATCCTGTTCAAAATGATCGAAGGAAAACAAAAACAAGTGTCCCCAAACATTTCAAAGAAAAGGAATTTCAACATGTATATATGTTACAGTAAATGTGTATAATTAGGGATTATGTAGAATCTCTGCAATTTTTAAGGATTATGTAGAATCACTAGAAAATATGTCAGGGATTATACATAATAAATGGAATGAAGAGACAATGAATAAATGTTAAATAATTTATTCTCTAAAATCATTATTAAACATCTTTAGAAGCATAAATATTAAAATGTTAAGCACAAATCTGTTTCGGTGGGACGGATGGAAGGACGGACGGAGACCATTACATTTATACTCACAGCAGCGCAACGCGCGGGTGACAAAAAGAACCGGAGCTCACAAGATGTTCTGTAAATATAAATCTTTCTGTTGCATTAGTAAACTCTTAAAGTGGAGACTAGGTGCCTTTAATACATGTATTACCTGACTATTTATTGGCTAAACGCCAATCAACAATCAATCAATTACACAGCCAATTAAAAAACTGAACAAATTGTAAGATCGTTTAAATACAGATCCATTTGAACGTAATTTATTGAGTGTTCTGAAATTGTTAGTGTCACAGACTTGAGAAGTGAATTCATCACAATAATTGTATTTACAATTGCATCTTTTATAGAGAGCTTGTGAAGACAGAAGCTGGTCCATTGATTTATGATTATTTCAAGGTAATATGTTCTATGTGTTGTATACATTTAATTTCATTAATGTTTTCAAACAAATTTCAATACTGAACTCAAACAAACTCTAATTAGTACAGTAGAAGATCAGGAATGTACAGACAAAAATTTCAACAATGTTAAAAGATTGTTTCATAAAGAATGGCAGAAAATACTAAGGGGATATTCAAAACTCTTAAATTGAAGAAAAACTGATAACGTCATGACACAATACAAAAAAAACAAAGAAAACTAAAGACTGAGCAACACGCACCTTACCAAAAACCCATACATGTAGGTGAAGTGCTCCGGAAGGGGTTATAATTTTATGCTCCACATGTGGCACCCGTCGTGTTGTTCGTGCATGTACAAATGCGGTGATGAGTCCCCTCGGTGATGTCACAATTTAGGAAAAGGGGACGGGATTGTGGTTACGGTAATTGGGATATATATGTGGTCATCTGTGACACAGATATTCCATAACGGTCAACCAACTCGTGATGGCTTCCGTAAAACTTTCGATGAGATGACTAAAAACTGTAGAATTATGGTGTTATTTAAGTATAAATATTTTATGTCTCTTTTAGGATAAATTGTTGAAGAAAGGAATGGTTATTCTACGTGAATATATGAAAAACGATTTAGGTAAGGCGGTCACTAATGGATAAATGTTGTTGTTTAAACATATTCTTAGATACACCAAACATGAGCATAAATGCATGAATACGTTGAATCTATTCCTGTTGTTTTGTTAGAAATCTGGATCTATAGACGAGTATATGGCATATGAGTTTGGTCAGTAATTTTTTTCATTTTACTGGAAGCGTTTTAATAAAGTTTCATCATATCATGAAGTTTTGCAAGTCTTGGATCGGTAACCCTATGTTGTAAAACCCTGTTCTTTGATAATGTATTAAAAGTGTTTTTCTTTTCTTTCGATATAGGTTCCATTCTTTTGAATAAAATAAGTGACCAATGGAATTACTTTTACACAGAAATATTACCAACAATACAAGCAATGTTATACCAACTTCCGGTTAGTAAATTCAATAATTCATAACAAAACATTACAAAACGTATATGACGTGAAACAAGATGAAGATTGAAGACTATTGTATGGATTGGACAGTAAGCGTGTCACACAGGAACACATTATATTCATTGTCAAAAGACAGGCGAAGGATACCAAAGGGACATTCAAACTCATACTAGTAAGTCGAAAACAAACTGACAACGCCATGGCTAAACAAGAAAAAGACCAACAGACAAACAACAGTACACAAAACACAACATAGAAAACTAAAGACTGAGCAACACGAACCCCACCCAAAACTGGGGGTGATATTAGGTGCTACGGAAGGGTAAGCAGATCCTGCTCCACATGTGGTACCCGTCGTGTTGCTCATATTAGTATAACCCGGTGATAAGTGTTATTCGGTTGGTCACATTCGCGGAAAAGGGAACGGGATTGTAGTTAAGACAATTGGAACATATCCGTTGTCATCTGTGAAACAGATATTCCATAATGGTCAACCAACTCGTGATGGCGTCCGTAAAATTTACGAAGGGATGATTTCAACTTCACCACTTGGAACTCTTGGTATCAGGCACAAACATGTAAAAAATTACATCTAAACAGTCATAAAATTGACCATGAGTTAGAAAGCATAGCCCGTGTAACCCTGTTTTGATTATTTTAAATCTTAAACATAAATGGTAAATACAGGAAAAACAACACTAGAAAGCTAATGGTCTGCGTGTTGGAACCTCTTTAAATCAAGAAGAAAAGAGGGTTGCAAGGAAGAATAAAAACCTTTTTATTTGACACAGCTGTTACTGTAGAATCATTTCCATTTTCTTTTTTTTATTTGGTACAACTGTTACTGTAGAATCATTTCCATTTTTCTTTTTTTTATTTGGCACAACTGTTACTGTAGAATCATTTCCATTTTTCTTTTTTTTATTTGTTATTTGTTTTTACAGGAGGTCTTAAATGCTTTAAGTAACATGACATTTTTTTCAGGTGAAAGTTGGCGATAAATCAGTTCGACAAGTGACGTTACTCAGTTTTCGTGATATTGTTGTATTGAAAGTAGGGACAGAAGGTAATTAAATATTCGCTAATATTTTGATATAAAACAAGCGGCAGGTACATTTTGAAATATGTAAAATACAGGTACATAAATAATACAAAATCCGTTTGATTGACTTAGATATTACATAACATTATTACAATGTCAGACTACTTAAATTGATGTTAGAATCCATCTTGATATAGCTTTAACGTGCGAGTTCTAAAGTTCATCGTCGATCACGTTCCAGAATATGTCAAGATGTTAGGCAGATAAAAGTACCTTTATTTGCTATTATTTCCAAATATATGTTGTAAATTCTATCGCATGTAACCAATCCGTTTTGCCTTTCTGCCGACAATTCAGATGGAGATTGCAGATAAAATGAAAGCATACAACAAAATCTAAATGAAGAAACAAAACCCGTATAAACTTGATCTCGATCGCCTTCGCTTTGGTAATGCACACAACTGCTGCACTCGCTTATAAAAGAAGTCTACGTCTAATGCACCCCCACACACTTACCAAAACCTTTAGATATCCAAATATATGTAAAAGTTCTTATATTTTGATCATTTGAATTTTGTTTGTTTTCTATGATGCCCGAATAACATGCTAAGTAATTTAGTATTGATGGCAAATTCAGTTAAAGCTTTTCAAGATTTCAGGCGATATCGAGCTGAGAACTTCATGTTTACCTCTAGATGTATTGTTTTATCTTTTGTGATGTTGGTTTGCTGTCTCGTTGATGTATACCCACATTTACTTTTATTCATAGCACAAATACAATTAAAATCATATTGTAGGGAAAACAAATTAATGCAAATCAGAAATACTTCAGAAGATATGCCAAACGGCAGTCTCAATTTTCATCAAAACTCAAATTAGGAAATTAATGACAATATGCATTGTATCTTTTTTTCAGAAACAATGTCGTCACTTCCGGATGATGATATTACACCAGACGTAAGACAGATGCTCTTAGTTCTACAGGTACTTCTGAAACTTCATCGACTACTTTTTTTTTAGAATAGATTTGTCTTCATTTTACTTTGCCGACAGCGAGAACTTCACGAAAAGAAGATGCGACTAAATGAATTAATGCATAGAAACCCTAGTGGAATCAAATATGTGAACTGGTTTTTAATAGCTTTCCTTGCCAAAAGGGCAAACAAATTTTATATGTTTGGGTACGTCCTCTGTAGTCTGTCGATCTATTTTTTCAAAAATTGTCTCCTCTAAAAATTCGGGCTAATTTGAACTAACTTGGCCTACATCATTCTTAGGGTATACCTTAATAGTTATTTCCGATGATACCGTTTTCAAGCCAACAAGGCTGATATAGCTTAAAAAAACTTGTGGGATAAAATTACAGAATGAGAATAAAAATCATCCAAGGGACAAATTGTATCAAACTTTAAGGAAATATTACATTTGTAATCCCCATCAGAATTTTAGTTGATGACCCGACCGTCTTAACACACGACATAAACCGTAACTAAAAAACAAAAAGGACAACGAATGATATAAATTCGTTTAAAAAAACACTTGAATGACCAATCGCTATCAAACTCTATTGATTGTTGGCAATGGCCATAGAATAAGAAGAGCGTCACAGGCTGTTAAGAGCCTATAGTTGTTAGTTCACTAAAATGTGAACCTTAACATGTATATACAATAATTACTTCTCTTATTTCACGAGATGCATAACTTTAGCTTTTTTTTAGAGTGTTCACGATGGCTATCCACCAAGCGAAAACCATCTGAGAATTGAAAAGTTAGTGGCAAGATGTGTAAGCCCATACTTAGGATTCTTTGGATTGTATGAAGGATCCCCTGTTCCAACAACAGAAGTTTCAATAAGACCAACAACCAATCCAAAACTTCTAGGTAAGTTGACAATAAGGGTCTTAAACTAAAAGCTGCCATGACTGTATCACTCGATGGCATAAATTCCGAATGGCAAGAATTTTGCTCAAAGGTTTAACTTCTTTTCATGTTTTATTCTATATATTTATTTTTTTTTTAATATCGGTCTGCAAAACTTCTTACATTTTTGAAGATGCATCGTAAACGATGTTTGCTTAAGATTTTGAATTTCGTACTACGTGAGCTAAATCGAGTACATAACATTCCAGAAACAATAACATATATCAAAAGAACGAATGAAAGTAAGATCAGTAAATTGCAGGAAATCCCAGAAGACCTTGTTATGTAAAGAAAGAGGTAAAAAACAAAAGATGTTTGATGGGATTTCAGCACAAAATAACCGATATTGATGATAGTTCGTATATCAAATAGTTATTGGTAAACTCATCGTAATCTACGTGGGCGACCACTTCTGCAAATCAATTGAATTACTAGTCATAACATATTCGAACATTTCGAAGAAATACTTCAATGTTTCAAACAACAATCGATGCAAAATAAAGTTAACGTGGTCAATAGTGTTTATGTTTAAATTAGCGTCAATTTTGTGACTAGACTATTTTCCTAATTTTAGTTATGACAATAACAAGAATGATTTTATTTGGCACAACATAACTTTAGTATTCTATCGTTCATCGTATCAAAAATATGTATTTTAATTCAAAATAACTTGAGCGTTGTAAATTTATTTGGGGCTTAATGCATGTTTATGTTCAGTGATTTTTATGTGTCTTAGCTTGTTCTAACACTGAAATATATGTATATTTGTAGAAAAATCAGAAGCCTATGAATTTGAAGCTAAACAACAATCTAGACCACGATCTATGCAATTGATTTCTCCGCGTTCTTCACATCGACCTGGTAACGGTTTTGTATTAAATCATCTATTAGCACCAGTAGTGGAACAGGAAACAGGACGGCGACACAGCATCGATGTCTATGACAAGCTAAACAAATGAACCATCATAAAAAGGAAATCGCAGAGAAATCCAAAACACTCAAAACGTACAAAGTCGCTAGAAATCCATAAGTGGTGACATCCATGGACGGATGCCACGACAATGAGAGCTTATGGAGACCAAAGACAATAATAGTACTTTTATGTCTACTATATCAACAAATTTCGGCTAAAGCTCATTTGAATATCACCGTGGGGAGTTGCTGCAATAATAAAATCATCTATTAGAAAACAATATGTGTCAGTTTCTAGAAAATAAAATGGGAAAATGAAACCCTTCACATTATCATTCACATGGTTTTGATGAAACCAGTTTTCATAACGTCAGAACAAAATCTTGTTAATTTAGCAATGTTTATTGATTATGAAATTACTGAAAATACGAAATGCTGATGAAATAATATAAATACTACTACATTAATAAGACAAACAGCTAACATGTCTGTCTATACAGATCAATCGATATTCTACGAGAAAAAATAATTCATTCATATCACACCTATTGTTTAGGAGTCAATGTGCAGATAAGCGTTATCAGCATAAATTGAGTTTAAAATGTGAATAATGAAATGTGAAAGTCTGACAACTATAGACTTACGAAAACAAATACGCTAAGCGCTAGTCAGTTTAACAACGTATGTGTTTACGCTACAAATATGTTACAAGAGGGACAGTATTCTTTAACTCATAAGTGTTTACAAACGTCTTTCAGGTTTGAAATCCACGTATTTCATGTCATTTGCTAATGACAATAATTCACTATTACAGCACATGTATCACGTGCATGATGGATAATACATTTTCTGGATCGTCATTTAGTTACATATTTTGTGAACCATTTTATGCTTCTCAAAGATAATTGTCCACATAACACTTTTTTTAATCACAAACTATTATATCTAAGCATCATTAGTTTCTTGTGTCTTTGTATCTTCTGGTTTTGAATCGGGAACACTAGAAGCTTCTCCATTTCGACCCCCTTCAACTTCCGCTGTTTCAAGTTCCGGTTCTTCGTGAATAGTTCCATTTCCGTTTTGTCCAAAAGACGAATTCACTTCATTTTGTCTTTCTAATTCCATAAGTGGATTGTCAATACCTTTCCCGTTTAATTCAAGATCTTTAGAAGCAGCCATATTAGATGATCTTTTCCTGTAATTTATAAAATTGTTCGATGGTTTTATCATTATTTCTAAAATGGATAGAATATGTAATATTGGACATGGAAGATTATATAATGGGGAATGCGTTCTGTTTAATTCACCATTTTCTACAAAAGGAAAGGCCTGTACCAAGTCAGGAACATGACAGTTGTTTTCCATTCCTTTGATCTGTTTGAGCTTTTGATTTTGCCATTTGGGACTTTCCGTTTTGAATTTTCCTTGGAGTTCGGTATTTTTGTTATTTTAGAATATTATTCAATGTGTACGTCCGTGAGTTAAAATGGTGTGTTTACATCATATGAATATGATATTAAACGGCTGGGTCAATTCCAAACAAACTTGTCACATATACAGATCGTGGTTATTTGTTTTTAGGATCAAGGTGAAGCCTCATGAGTAAACGTAATTAAGGTCAGATTCACTAGTTGTAAATACAGATTCATCCATATTGGTTTTTAAGGTATACACCGAAGTCAACACTGGTGTCATGGTCAAATTGTTGTGAAAACCCCATAGATCAAACACCCTGTGTCATCTTTCTCAACTCATAACTCAAACATCTGGATCGTAAAGAAAACTCAGAACTCAAACATCCGGATCGTAAAGACAACTGTATTTTAAGAAAAAAGTTAAACTTTGAGCTGAGATAGTGATTATATGTACGAATATCACCTACATTTGGACAATGTACTACAGGATAAATTTTATAGTAAAACTGAACCAAACTTAATAACATTATATAAATGAAAAATGAAAGCAGCTGTAAACAACCTATGGTATGGTGTATGAGAGTCTAAGCGGGGTTCATAGGATAGAGAATAATGGGCCAATATTGCAGAAAAATAGGGGGAAAAAAGAAAGAATAGAGAAAAATAAACCAAAAATTTGAAGAATAGAGAAAAATGGGGCGCTTAAATATAAAGAAAAGAGAATTATGTGCAAAACAAGAAAATATAAAAAAAATGACCTAAAAAATTCAAGAATACAGAAATGAAGGACCCTTCCCCATCCAGACTTGATGGATTTACTTCCTATACCTTTGTTGAAATAAACTCATCAACGATAGACACTGTTCTGTTTTTCGCAATAGATAAAGAATGTCATAATCTCAATAAAAATAACTATCAAAATTTGCTGAATTTGATATATTTTCCAATATTACATTTTAAATTAATTTTTGTAAACTTGTTAACAATGTGAGATACATGTATCTAGATCTGCTTTATAGATTGCCTTTCGTGTGAAACAATGCCTATATCTACGTACCTTTTCTGTAGAATTGTTGTCAGGATAACTATAACTGCAACCAAAGCTAAGATACCAATCACTGATCCAATCACTATAACTGTAAACAAATAAGTACTTGTAATAACGTATGATATAAAAATAAGGAGATGGTATTATTACCAATGAGACAACTATCCACCAGAGTTGAAATGACGAATATATAAGCAATTATAGATCACTATAAGTCTTTCAATACTGAGAAATATTTTCGTGGTCACCAATTTTCGTGGATTGGGGAAAAACTGTACTTTCGTGGATATTTGATGTCATGGTTTTGCCTAAATCTACATATAAACTTATAGAAAATCTTTACTCCGTTGAACATTTAAATTCGTGGTTTACCTTTATCCACGAAATCCACGAAAATTTCGAATCCCACGAATAATAATGAATCCACAGTACCACATAGTCAACTCTAAAAGACCCTGACATGAAAAATGTTAAACAATTCAAACGAGAAAGATAACGGCCAAATTTAGAAACAATACAGCAGGGCCGTAACTACATTGAGGCAAATGAGGCAAATGCCTCATGTTGGAAATTTCATAAAAAAATAATAAGTTGAAACAAAAGCTAGTCTTCATATCAAATTGTTTTCACGGCAAGTGTCTTGCAAGAAGCAAGTTCTGTTCATCCTCTGACGTCGCCTTATGCGATTTAGCCAATTCGAATCAATTCGAATTAAAAAAGAAGAGTGTGTGAACACGATTAGCGAATTCGATTCGCATTCGATTCGAATTCAATTCGAATTAAATGTACGTGTGAACGAGGCATTAAAAAGAAAAATAATGTATTGCCATATGACCTTTTATATTGAAGGGCTAAACTTGCATTAAGCCGTGTTCAGGCCCTTAAATAGAAAATAAAGTGACATAGAGTAAATGTGAATGGGACAAATCGCGCTCAATACATAGAAAAAAATACAAATTATTAATGAACAGGGTTTTATTCCTGTTCTTCATCTTCACAGTCGCTGGAGGGTCTTCAACAATGAAAGAATCGTTTATACCCTACAACAAGGTCAAGACGGCCCCTAGCGTCGACTTAAGCGGTGTAAAGTATTGTACTATGAATAAATCACAAAGAAAACACAATACAAGACCAGAACAGACGGATCCGATAATCAGCTGGTATAAAATGTAGCGATGAGGTCTAAGAACAGTTTTCCTGAGTCTACCCTGAGTGTACTCTTTTATCTCATTTAGGAACTACATCAAGTTGTAATAAATGTGTTATAAAAACCGAATTAACATAGTTAAATCAATGATAAGTAGCCCCCTCTAAACTTAATTTGAAAACCTGATTGACAGGTATAATACGTTTTTCTGCAAGCCGAAACTCAGTAACAAAAGAACAAAAGAACAAAAAACAGCAGCCACAACGACTTACTTTTGTGAATTACGATTTTTGCTTTATCCTACATATCGGTTTTTTATGTTGTTCCTAAAAACTAGAATCCTTACAATGAATCTTTATATTTTGCATGCTCTGTCGAAAAAATAATTAAAAAAAATTACGTTAAAGATAAAGAAAGGGTCTGGGAAACACTCAGAATGCACGATTTTGCGTCATTTTTTCCAGAGCTTCTGGGGGCCTTGAGCGGCCCCAGAACCTTCGCCGAAAAAATTCGCCTCGCTCCGCACGGCAAATAAATGTTGCCTCACTTTTAAAAGAGGCAAGTTACGGACCTGTACAATTTACTATAAGGAAATATGACATACATGATCCAACGACAACATTTGAATTACAGGCTTCTGACTTGGAATATGCACATAAAGAATGTTATCTACTATTTTTGTTTACCTATATTCCATTTTAAAAAATGCCAATTTGAAAGAACGGCGAAGGAAAGCGGTCATATTCAAATAATGAACAAAAGCAGTGTCCCTATCTTGCAATGCAAATATTTTGTCAAGTTATTCAGCACTAAAACGATAAAGGTAACAATGACAGTACAAATACACAATACCATATCGAAGAGAGTGTGTAGCTTTTTAACATGCTTAATGTAATTCATCTGCTGATACATAAATAATCCTTCTTACACTGAAAGCATTGCATATTTTCAAACATAGATAGTAGATAAATATAATTTACTTGATTTTTTTAGGGGTTACGATCTTGGATTTTACTGTCACAATGCGGATATACCTAGCGACACGTAGCAGGAATTCATAGTATACTCAAAATGGAAACATCAAAATAAAGATCTACAGAAGAAAATCATTAAATATAAAAAAAATCCTAATTTCAATACGATGCTAAACAATTTCGTTTTTTTCCTTATGGCTTAAATAAATCAGCAAACAAAAAGTGAAAACATTGGAACAACAAAATGATTATATAAACAGTCCCATTTGTAAATTTTAACATCCTGTAGTTTTTTGGCTTCAGGGTGCTTAAATTTTAAAACAGTTTTAAGATGAAAGACAGCAATAAAAGCGCTATTTGTTTGCTTCTACTTTCTTATGCCAATGCACTAGTTTTGCTTCATGAATTGAGACACCGTATTCCTGCGCTTCCATAAATTAGAACAGATATTCTATGCTATCATATGATAAATTAGATATGTTTGAATAACTCAAGAATTGAATATACTTGCTTCTTACTAGTATACCCTTAATCAGGTGAGTAAATGCCCGTCAACAACAATGTCAAAGGAAACACAAATGAATTTCCTTTTAGAATATTAAGTTTACAAATAGCAGAAATTGCCCAACTGTTAGAACACAATTTTAAAGACAATACAAAATTTCAAATAAAAAACAGTTTAATCAAAAGTCGTGCACTTACTTGTTACTGTTTCTTCACTCAGTACATCTTCCTCTTCTGTTGAACCTTGTGGTTCAAGATTTTCACCAGTGTTTGGTACTTTCGTGGTGAAAAAGTTATCTGATATACCGCTGAATATTTTATCTAATTCATTTTGATTTACCGGTGGCAGCAATCTTATGTTTTGTTTTATATTTTGGTCTGGAATAATTGGCATTATTTTCATTGGATGCTTTGTCTGAGTTGTATGTCCATGCTCTTTTGTAGATCCTGTTTCTGGTAGACTTGGTATATGTTCACGCTCTCTTGTAGTTCCTGTTTCTGGTAGAACTGGTATATGTTCACGCTCTTTTGTAGTTCCTGTTTCTGGTATTACTGGTATATGATCAAGCTCTCTTGTAGTTCCTGTTTCTGGTATAACTGGTATGTGTTTATGCTCTCTTGTAGTTCCTGTTTCTGGTATTACTGGTATGTGTTCATGCTCTCTTGTAGTTCCTGTTTCTGGTCTATCTGGTATATGTCCATGATCTTTTGTAAATTCTGTTTCTGGTATAACTGGTACATGTTCATGCTCTTTTGTAGTTCCTATTTCTGGTATAACTGGTATAAGTCCATGCTCTTTTGTAGTTCCTGTTTCTGGTATAAATGGTATATGTTCATACTCTTTTGTAGTTCCTAATCCTGGTATAACTGGTATCGCATTCAATGGTGGTTCCTCCGTAGGAGTTTTTGCATGTTCTGTAGTGGTTTCTGCTTGAATGAACGCATTTGTTGTTGATAGAACTATTGTTTTTGTCGTTTCAACATGTTGTGTTGTTGTTTCAGACTCTGTTGACGATATTGTTGTTTCTGTAGTTTCAAACTGGTGTTTTGTTGTTTCAGGATCTGTTGACATTACAACTGATGTTGATTCCTCAACATTTACATCGACATGCTGTTCTGATGTAGCCATAGGTAGAGTTGAAGTAGAAGTCTCGGTATTTGATAGGAAGGCGTCGTTACCTTGAGGGGGTAACATGTCTGTAAAATCAGCTGCTTTACTTTGATATTCATCCATTGATAAAGTAGACGATGTAGAATTTACAACAGAAGTAACTTGTGTCAAGCTTGTTACTTCACTGGTTTTCGTAGGAACGATAGCTAACATTGAGGGTACAATGGACATAAAGGCCATATCGTTGCTTGTTATATCGGCTAAAGGCGCTAGTGCAGATGACAATGATTTTAGATTAGAGATTTCCCAAGACATTGTCGGTTTGAGATATTCAAAGTCAAAATCTGAAGACAAAATAGTATCAGAATTAGACGGAGATATTGTCGACTGCTTATATGTTTCGGATGATAGAATGTCTTGCTCTATGGCACTTGATAGAATATCTTTATTCTTTGACATTATGTCATCTGTTTTATTTGTATCATCTGGAAGTATAAACGACCATGCACCTTTCGACGATTGTATGTCAGGAACAGGGGAGCTATTTTGAACCGTTACTTGGTCATTAACCGCGTTGTTAAGTTGATTATCGGTAACCTTTTCTTTTTCCATATACGAAGAAAACAGATTCATCGGGGACAGATCAGACGTTGTTGGTACATTTTCCGTGGTAGTTTTATATTGAGCGCTTATTAATGGTGCATTCCCAGAAAGTGACTCGCTGTATTTTTCAGTGGATGTAGTTCTTTTACCGTTGAAGATCAATGAAGAATTATTCATATCCGTATATTCATTACTAGTGACATTTTGTATTGTATCTTTGTATGTAGTATTTATCATCATTGAAGGAATATCTGTTGAGTTGAAAGGTTCGAACAAAACAGTTGAAATGTCACTTTCATTAGAATTGGAACCATTGTATTGTTTGATAACTGCATTTACCACCTCAACAGGTATTGTTTCTGTAGTATTAGATGTACTTTCCGTGTTGTTATTATGAGGCATTGATGTTATTTTTTCTTTTGTACTTGCAAGTTGTTCCGTGTTATTGAGAAAACTCATCAACTCGGAGGATGACATCAGGGGTTCGAAAAGTACAGAAGCATTTGGATTTCTACTCATCTCTTCAAGAACTGCTTCAGAAGTTTGATTATTCTGTTGCAGTAATTCTTTCATGACAGATATTGGTGGAATTTCTGTTGTCGCTGTGACTTCATTTTCATAACAGGTCATTGTTATCATCTCATCAGCTAAAATAAGGTAATATAAAGGCATTTAAAGGGAAAATAAAGGCATTTAAAGGTAATATAAAGGTAGTTAAAGGATGGAGAGTTGTCTCATTGGCACTCATACCACATCTTCTTATATCTATTTAAAGGTAAATTAAGGCATTTAAAGGTAAAATATTAAAGTGGTTTACCGAAGTCAAATCAAATATAGGTCAAGGTAAAAACATAGGGACTAAAATTATCGGAAGACATTATTGCAATTGGAATGAAACAGGCCGTCGACATAGCAAGCATCTCCTATAATACAACTATAGGTCATATCTAGAAGTAGCCATCAAAGATTGAAACATGCCAAAACCAGGAGTAATGTCAGACTGACAATAGTGCACATTTGGGATCTATGACAGTCTTCAAATGCAACAAGTAAGTTGAGAAAATTAGACATTTAATCGATCAACAAAACTGTGGTAGCATCCATAGAACTTAGGTGTAAAGGCATGGTGCGAATTTCAAGATACATATACGTGCGTCTGGAATAAACTTCATCCGGTACGCTCGAAATGGTACATATAATATTCTGTTCAGAAATGAAGCGCTATAGTTTGTTTAACATTCTATCAAAGAAAGGACTTTTTAGGAAATACAATCTAAATATGAAAGGACGTTCTGATCAACATTTGTCCTCAACAAAATACAACTACTACTCAGGGGTGTTTAACTACCTTGACTGGCTAGTACGCCCTCACACGGTCAGTTTTTGTCACAAAATACAAATTTGCTTACTATATGTTGCAAAAGTAAATGGATATAAAACAAAATTTGTTCTTGAAAATTATATGCTCGATAGTATGTACTTTTATCTTTTGATTGTCAATATTTTATATTCATGTATTTGAAATTCCAAAATTATAACCTCAGGGGTATCTAACAAGCTTGGATATAAAAACACGTGTAATATAGAACAAAATTAAATGTCCTACATTTTTATTACTAAATTTTGGGTTTGATGATTAGTTTTCCCTATAGTACATATAATGGCACTGACATGACGAAGATAAACGGAAAATCGTATTATATGAAACAAAATTGGTCGTCTAAAATCCAGAGGAATATCATAATTCCTTATGTTAGTTTGTATGCTGAAAACGAAAAATGTTTGAGATCAAAATCTACAATTTTCCTTTATCGAAAGTTCAGAAAGTACTGAGTGAAGCCTACCACTAAGCACATCAGTTTAATCTGAAAACAGTCGTTTTGATCTGAACAGCTCTCAAAAGATTAAACATTAAATCATTTAGTCGTTTTAAGTCTGTCAGTCAACTTTCAGATTTATACCCTGCAGTAATTTCAGTACAGTTCAGGCAGGTCGCTTGCAGTCAATTAAGATATGTCCTTTCTATGTTCAGACTGTTCAGTAGTTACTGTTTACCTGTTCGCATCAACATCATACTGAATAGTCTGAAAAGCTACTGAACAGTACTGAATTGACTGCATGCAAATTGTCTCAACAGTACTGAATATACCGCAGTAAATAAGTCTGAGAATTGATCGAAAGACTGGGAATGATTTACTGATTTACTGTTCAGACTTTTTATATGATGTTAAGATGTCAAAATGGCCGTTTTTACTGACGGGTTATTGTATATACTTTAACTCCTTTAAAATCATGAATAGAATAATGTAATTATTACCTTGGGTTGACAGTGAATCTAAGAAATGAATTTACAAATTAATATTATCTGGTGATTATGGACTAAACTAATTTGCCATAGCCTATGCATATTATATTATCTGTTGTGACCAATTCCTACAGTGACATTTATCGTTCACAATCCTAAGCCTTTAACTTATTCGACCCCAAGACATTTCTGGAAAATCAGGCATTTTCGAAAATTTGCTAACATATGCAAATTATATGCATATTAGTAGACTCTTGATGTTGTAACTGATGTTGATCTATTAAACTATGTATTGAGATTTGGGGGCGGATGGCATGGCTGGGGGTGGCGTGGGAGGTGGTATATTTTCTGGTAGGTTTGAACCCACCACTACTGAAAAATGGTCATTTTCAGTCTATTTATCGATTTTAGTACGACCTTGAGAGGTGAACAACGACCAAACTGTGTTTCTTTGTCATTCAATTATTACCTTATAGTTACAGCAGTCCAACCATACTGACTGGAAGTAAATGTGACTTGAGTGGCTTGCTGGGTAATTATTATTGGCAAGCCAGGTCTGCCTAAATGTCCGTTTTTACCGATTTCTGACAAAACGGTGACCTAGATTTTTCAGACCCATTATTTATGATAATAGTTAATACCTAAAGCCCATACCAGTAACGTAGTGGCCATCAAAAGACCCCCACCCCACCTGCTTTTGGCTACGTTTCACGTTTTTCCGATTTTGAACTCTAAAAAGGTCATTACAGTTGTCATATTTTCATAAACACACTTGTGGGAAGAGTTTATGGACCATGAATTACATGATTGAACTTCCTGCTGTCAAGACTGATCATCTGGGGCAGTTCTGAAAAGTATGGAGGGTCATATGAGCCTTCAAAGAATGGTGGTTGCAATCACGACTACAGGCGGGATTGGGGGCGAAAGGGTTAAGAAACAGTTTTACTTACTCTTCAGAAAATTGACGAGCCAATATGTTATGTTCATAAAATTGATTATCTTTATTTTGCTCTTTTTGTTTGGTTTTTCTAGTTTTAGATCCAATCTTGGTATTATTTAAGTTTCGATTTCTGACAACATTTTATTATATCAAAAACAACTTGCGTGGCGAAAGATACCAGAGGGACATTCAAACTCATAAGTCGAAAATAAACTGACAACGACATGGCTAAAAAAGAACAAGACCAACAAATAATAGTACACAAAACGCAACATAGAAAACTAAATAATGAGCAACACGAACCCCACCTAAAACTGGGGGTGATCTCAGGTGCTCCGGAAGGGTAAGCAGATCTATAATACTCATTAGATTACAAAAAACAGCAACGTGGTTTTATCTTAACGTATGATAGCGATTTCGATGTGCACGAAACGTGTTTATGAACTAACCGTCATCACCCAGGTACGCTTGAGATGAAAGATTAAAAATATCTACCTGCCTATTTCAGTGGGAATTTTGATACATTGCCCATTGTCAGTGACGAATAAACTAGTAGTTGATATCTCTGCCTATCTCATTTAGTGATAATTTGTATAAAGTATCCAGTGTAAGTAACTACTAAATTAGTAGTCAATATATCTACCTATACCTCTGTCAGTGGTAACTTGGATCCAGTATCCAGTGTGGGTAACGATTGAAGTGGTAGTTGGTATCTCTACATACATTATTTAGTGATAATTTGTGTAGAATATCCGGTGTCGGGACTGATTGGTAGTCGATATTTCTACCTACCTCTTTCAATGGTTATTGTAAACAGTATCCAGTGTCAGTAACGATTGAACTAGCAGTCGATATGATATTTCTACCTACCTCGTTTAGTGGTCATTTGTATAAATACATTATTAAATGTCAGTAATGATTTAACTAGCAGTCGATATTTTTACCTATCTCTTTCAGTGGTCATTTAAATACAGTATCAAGTGTCTATAATATCTAGAATAGAATCAATATTTCTACTTACCATTTCCAGTGGAAACTTCGATACAGTATCCAGTATCAGTAACGGTTGAACTAGTAGTCGATATCTCTACAACACCTTGTTTTTCTATCGATGTATCGATATAATTCTTAGAGGTAGTGCATTCAATCTTAGGATTTTGTACTAGTTTGAATGTCACAACTGTACCACACTCTAATGTCGAAGGAGCACTTAATGTATTAATTGAAAGTGCAGTTGAATTAACAATTATTTCACATGTACAGCGTTGTCCAAGCATTGTTTTGGAGAAAAATGAAGTATCTATGTTGATAGCTGATGATATAACAGACGATTCTTGACACATGGAGACAACTAGAAATATAAATAGTATAGTTGGATTGTCAATGAATGTAACAGAAGGTAAAATGAATAGGAGCAATGAGTTATAATGAAAAGAAAGCGAGCACAATTGATGTGATTAATTATAAATATTTGTACTATCATATAGATTCAGCGTCGTATCAGAAAACCGTAGATGTTCATTATACTTCGATCTGTCTTCTGGTTTCGTTTTCCTGCATGCATGACATATATGCCACTGGACGTTAAGCAAACACCAATCAATCAATCATCTGATTTTTTTTAAAGCTCAAGAACTGCTATTTTGGTAATGGTTATCCTGAGACCCCAATACATTTTAAGAAAATTTCTGCAGAATGGTTTAATTCAAAGACACTAGAACACACCCGCGAAATCGCGGGCATTTAGAGCGTGGTTAAAAGTATGTAAACTGTTGTAGGATGAATTTAGTAAAAGATTTTATGACTGGAGAATTTCAGGAAAGGTATTAAGTCATAGGTACTTAGGGACAGGACAATATTTTTTTAAGCCCTCCCCCTTTTTTCAAAAGCCGTTATATTTTGTTTATTATTAATTTCAATTATTTTCGCGTTTTTCTAAATACTATGAACATACATATACTATAAATAAAGTGTATTTGCTATTTACTATCAATTCTAAGTTTACTATCCACGGCGGTCACTGACTGTATATTATATACACACTCTCTATATAATATATCAGTGACCGCCGTGGAATTGATGGTAAAGAGCAAATACATTTTATTTATAGTATATGTATGTTCATAGTATACAGAAAAACGCGAAGATAATTCTCTTGTCCCCAAGTAACTATACAAATTATGTGTAATTTTAAAAAGTACTACGCGGAAGTCTTGTCTATGACTTAAAAGTCCGTCCGATGACGGAAACAATATCTTTATTTACGTTTTCCTCCCCAAATAACCCGAACATAATAATCATAAGCTAGGATGACAAATGCGACTATGCATGGTACCTCTAGGACACAGAGGCATGATGATTAATTTAATGTGGAAGGAAGAGAAGCGACACACAAAATGAGGACTTCTCATTTAATGGTATAGATATATTTTACAAAACCTCAAAAAACTGATGATTGAAATTCTTCTCCATAATTAAGGAATGATTATTCATGAGGCACAATACTTTGTCGTATATCTGTAGCACAATTATTGTGTTATTATAACGTTATTTACATAAATTATGCTAAGATGTTTGTTTATATTCCATATGAACAAAATATAATTTCATTTATTATGTCGATATAGTAATTTACTAATCTTTTGTGAAATTGACAGGCTTCAGAAATAACATGCCCGAATAAGGAATAGCGCAAAAATCATATTGCATAATGGATTCTATCGTTCGTATCATGTTATGATTTTCCTGTTACATTTAATTAGTAATTAAGATATTGCAATGATGTAATTTACATCCTAGTAAGGTTATAGCGACATGCTTCACATTCCAGTCAGCTTCATTGGGTCATAAAAGTGATCAGTTAATAATCCCAATACATCAATATTGACACGTGACTGAGTATTTGTAAGGATTACATCATATTGACCACAGCGTTTGATTGATTTATAGTCCCTTAGACGTTTATAGAACATTGTTTTCCTTTACTTTAATTATTGTATATTCGTCGACATTCCATTATAGTATAGTGGCTGACGAATAAAAAAGGGAAGGAAATTGCATTGGAACACTTTTTTGTACTAAAGATTCCATATTTGTCTGCAATCGTGTTCAGGTGTTCATAAATATACTTCTTTTTATATGATATTTTGACCTCAGATCAGTTTTCTACATTAAAAGTAAGGAAACGTGATATGCATATGATTGCCATTGAGACAAGTATTCTCCAGAGACCAATTGGCGGGGATGTAACTTCATGTCACCGTACGGTCATCAACAATGAGCAAAATCTATTCTAACCCTGTATTTTCAAAATCGACTTATTTGTATCTTTTAATGACTCTTTTGTGATTTATGTAATTTAAAATTACGAAAAATGAATAATATATTGTATAAGTCAGGTAACTTTCATTTAAAAATATTTCCTTTGATTTAAATCCTGCTGTCAACATTACATACATATTAAACAGATGTAACGTAACCTTTAGTGTTAATATCCATCAGCACCTTGTTCATCAAGATGACAGATATAGATATTAGTTACGCAACATCTATGTTGCTACAAGCCTATATCTCAATTCTTACACATTATGAGAAAATTCTGTCAATTTAATTATCAAAGCAAGTCAGATGTGTTAATCATATGAAAGACTTCACGTAACTACTATCTAATTAATCATACAGATTGACGGGTTATAGAAATACACAAAGCTTGGGACGGACCCAGGGGTGGCCATTATTTTCTTTTCTATAGTTTTCTCATTTTTTGGCGGACCCCTTTTGCCAAACTTTTTGTAATGTTGGACCAGCTACTCCAATAGTCTATCGTCAGTTATTTAGCATTTTGGCATATTTTTTGAAGTTATCAATATTGATGATAGTTTAGTCCTTGCGCTTTCAAATTTACTTAAATAATGATAATGATTTCAACATTAACGGTTGAACGAATAACAGGTCCGAGTACACAGTTATCGTCCTTTGACAAATATAGTCCCTAGTGTGGACAGTGTGTTACTTGCCATTTTTTTTTATACCCCTTCCAAATTTATTTCTCCATGTTTTATGCCTCAAATAGCAAGTAGGGGGATGAAATTACACTGTAAAAAATTTGGGTCATGAATTTTAAAGTAAAGTAGTGATTTGGTCCAGCTGAAAAAGGTTAAAAATAAGCACTTCGGAAGCTGTCAAAAGATTTCAAGACCCCCTTAACATAAAATTGTCCATATTTTGAGTTAGAGCCGATGAAGTTTTCTATAATTTTGATATAATTTGTCCCAAAAGTAGTACAACACACTGTAAAAAAATTATTGAGAAAGCGCAGGTGGGATTTTTTTAATTTTCATTTATTGTCTAAAAGAAATGCACTACGAAATAACTGTGTACTCGGACCAGCAGTAATTGTGTTTTCGTAAACAATGTGTATTGCATATATTTAATGTAAATATTCCTTTTTTCAATTTAATATTTATTGAGATGGTAGTGATCCTCTTTAGTTTAGGTGAATTTTTGGTTAGAAATCAGTGGTAATGCTGACTCATTAAAAGCATATTTTGCAATATACAAATATTGTGATAACAGTCTCAGTTTATAAGTAAATGTCATTAAATGCATTGTTTCTGTTTATAACTTAAAAGAAGGTACATCTAAAAAAATACTACTGTTAATTGCATGTCCTGTGTACCTATAAATGCATGTCCATGTTATTTCCTCAGGGTGAGCTATATCTGTTTTATATCAAAAATAAGTTTATGTTGTATAATAATGCTTTTAATAGTGTTGAAAAAAATACTTGATTTGTGGTTATTTGAACCGTAAATATGAGTGTTTTATTACAATATTTATATATCTGTTCGATAGGGATGTCAACTGTTACTTTTTATCTATAAAATTAATTAAAAACTTATTTGTCATGATAACAAATAAATGAATATCAAATCAAATCAAGACATGTTTTCGGACAAAATTATGACATGTAACCTCCCTTTCATATTAATACACATATATTGATTGATTGGTTGACTGGTGTTTAACGCCACTTTCAGTACTATTGGCTTTTGCGTGGCGGTCAGTTTTTATTGATGGAGGAAGCCGGTTTACCCGGAAAGAACCACCAAATTTCGGCAGGAAAATTGACAACCCTTGTCAATTAAAATTGGAGCCGAGCACACCTGCCTCGTGCGAGGTTGTGAACTCATAATATCACCGTTGACAGCTACTTGAACTACTTTTTTGTTATTGACTATTTTTTTCTCTCTTGATATTTAGACTGGCACTCGGCTATCGAGGTCCCTAAATACACTTACAGAACTATTTAAACTGATAGCAGTATACAACCTTTTATCGGTATTTAGATATATGGGATTGCGGATCTTTCATTTCTTGAAATTTAACTTTGAAATATGTTAATTTTATAATCAACGTTACCCCACAACTAATGGAACATTTCAGTTTACTTATTGGCAGCTTTTAAAAAAAAAAAAAAATAAATAAAATAATTGCAGATGATGGAAAGAGATCATGAACAGGCGAAACGTGTGTTACATGCATTATATTAATGAATAATTCATTATTGAAATTAAGTGGTAAGTTTACAAGAGTAATATAATGCGAATCAGTGGAAAAAATCACGTGTTGGATATGAATAATAATGTACAGTGAACGTCTGTCCATCAAACAAAAAAGCTTGCAACACGTAAAATAGACTTCTAGAGATAACCACGTCCTTTGTTAGGACCCAATCTCCTCATTTCATCAAATAGTGGGTGAACATCAAAAACAGTTACACAAAAAGCGTGTCTAGCGTACAAAATGTTCAGCCTGATACCTATGATGACTTTATTTAGAAAGTAAAACCAAAAAAAATAACCTCTAAAATCAATGAAATCAGTATTACATGTCATAAAATACAATTGAATAATGCTACAATGAAGGTGTATTACTGTATTAGAATGATTGCAGTTACTCTAAGCTTGTGAAACCGTGCCGTTTTACACTCTAATATAGGCCACAGCGCGTGTCATATAGTATCCTCATTTACAGAGCTGAACATGATGAATTTCAAAGCACTCAATTAAAACATCACTGCTTAACAAAGCAAACAAAGAAAAGGTTAATGGTATAGCATAAAAAATAACATTACTTAAGCATTAACTTGATACCATTATTATAAAAATTATCATTGAAATAACAGAAGATGTTTGGTCCATATAAAAATTGCTCTCTCTCTCTCTCGATCGAATTTAGATTTTAGATGCAGTGTGTAGCATCATTCAAAATTGAAACTGGTCGTCATGAAAGACAAGATTAATTGTAATCTATAAGAAGTCGAAAAACATGTACTTGTTCGAAGATCTAAGACATGCCATGTACATTGATATAAATCATTTTTTGATGATATCTGATGATAAAATATTATGTATCTTTTAAATAGAAACATCCAATTTAATAGTATTGCCAAAACCTGCAATAATACTTTAACTAGGAAAACTCGTCTCCTATGCAATTAATTGCTCTTTTATATGATTATAGGCCTATATTTATCTGTATTTCATAAATTATCTCTTATTTTATTATGAGTTGCACATTCATACACTTAAAACAATTTATACATGCATGCTGTATATTTTGTTTAACTGTATTTTGTATATGATGAAACGGTAATAAACTTATGAATATGTATATTCAACTCAACAATCACTCAGAGTTATAACTTAGAACAATATGTTATGGAGATATTATGAACATTCGCATACGTGTTTTTCAACATAACAGAATGCCTTGTTTTACAGATGACAAGCTCTTTGAGTTTCTTTGTTTTACATACCCAAATATTTTTCGCAAACAAAGTAAATCTCTGTGATCTAAGTGCAATTGCATATAAAATAAGGAGATGTGTTATGATTGCCAACTAACCACTTTGAACAAAGGAAGAGATTATAAACAATTAAAGAGACTTTACTACCTTTAAGAATGAGTAAAATCATACAGAAAAGTAAGCTTTAAAAGGCCCTGGCATGCCAAAATGCGAAAACACTCAAAACAGAAAGCTAACGGCCAGAAACCAATAAATGAAAAACAAATAAAAAACAAACCAGACAGACGACAACCATCGAATTATGACTTGGGACAGGCACATACAGAATGTGACAGGGTTAAACAAGTTTGCGAGCGATCAACCCTTTCCTTAACATTGAACATTGTAACAGCACAACATAAGAACTAATGGTAAAAATCAGTTGGAACAAGCTTAATTGTGGTGATGTATAAATACCATGCCACGTCCATTCAGCGTTTTGTTAGATGTGTTTCTGCTTTGTATCGATCTGTTGAGTAAAGCCCTTTTCAACTGATTTTTATATTTTTATATTTTGTTCTTATGTTGTATTGTGACACCAATTTTCCAGGTTTAGGGAGGGTTTGGCGCCAGCAAACTAGGTTAACCTTAACACATTCTGTAAGTGCATGTCCCAAGTCAGGAGCCTGTAATTCAGTTGTTGTCGTTTGTTGCTATATATCCATTTTGTTTTTGTTCATTGTTTTGTACATAAATCAGGCCGTAAGTTTTCTCGTTTGAATTGTTTTACATTTGCCATTTGGGGGCCTGTTACAGCTGACTATGCGGTATGGGATTTGCTCATTGTTGAAGGCTGTACGATGACCTCTAATTGTTAACATCTATGTAATTTGGTCTCTGGTGTAGATTTGTCTCATTGCAACATCTTTTTATTTTTCTATTATCTCATTAGGTCGGCACGAAACACCAATAAAACAAAACACAACAAACAATTAGACAAAGGCACACATTTCAGATCTAACAGTACTCGCAGTAGCTGAAACCTAGTTCGAAGAGTTAAATATATTCACTTTGAACCGCACACAAGTTTTTTGCGTACTTATAATGAAATCAATAAATTATATTGTTATAAAAAGGGTTTTCTTTCAAATGTACTTTAATGATTGCTGACTTATGTGTTGATATATACATATCAACTTGTTAGCGAACATTTTGAATATATCAAGGATTATGTACAACTTACTTTTAGATGGATCGCCTTGACACACACCTCCCTCGACTGTAATAAAATAGAAATGCATGTAGGATTAGCATTTAACTTGAAAAATATAACAAACTATTCAACATAATTATCTCTCTCTCTCTCTCTCTCTCTCTCTCTCTCTATATATATATATATATATAAATGTATAACAACTACCGCTAGATAAACGTCCTTGATTCTACTGCAATAGATAAATTAAAGAAAAAATTGACATGTAAGTTAAGAAAATAAAAAATAAAAAAGGCATTTCACACCAGAGTGAATAGAACAAGAAATCTGAAACCATCTTTAATGAATAAAATGTTAATTAGTTTACGTTTATATTTATGCATAATGAATTAAAAGAAATGAATTACACCTCTCAACAACGTGGTGCTACATACATACATACCTTGTAGAACAAAGAAATTTACAAATGCTATAACAAATAATGGAGTCAAACACATTTTGATTAGCTGTAATACTTCCATTTTAAACACAACTCAATATAATATTTTTGTATGAGCCAGGTATGTAAAATCTGTCTCTCCTGAAGTTACATCGTATTTTAATGTTTTCCTTAAGCTAATCCAATGTTGTTGTTTTGTTTTTCAGATGCTGCACATGTATCTTATTTTATACGTTGTCATAAATCCACAATAATGTTGAAATATATTAATATCTTTATCCTACTGTGTTAAAAAATCCACTAAAGTCAACACTTCAATGTTTCAACATTTCACAATTAGACGATAAAATACATATCATATCACCGGTATACAAACATGAAGTGTAAAGGGCGGTAATAACGTAAAGAAGTGGACTTAGTGATGAATGGTCATCTGTCAGACTAACGACACGACAACTTTCACTTTTACTGTACAATTTTACAGTCTTGGCGTGTCATGTACAAAATACTGTGGTACATGAAAATAAATATTAGGGTAATGACAAATATAAAGTGTTACTACATGGGAATCAGTTTATCAGTCAGAATGTGGCCAGTTTTTATCCTAGTCATAATGCTGATATTTGACCGTTTTGGGGATTTTTTTGTCGAGTGTTGACAAAACCTTCTTTGTTATTAGATCACTCTCAAGGGAATTTGTAGTAAAGTTTTGCAAACCGCTTTTTTTACATCTCATACATTACTTTTGTAGACACTATTAAATTGATTTATGGAATTTTTAATAAAAAGGATATAAGACGATAAATTGCTTCAATGTGGCAATGTTTTGTACATCTCAATATGGGGTCACTATTTCATAAAGTAGATTTAGTGACTTTTTAATCGAAATATTGGAACTATCTTTGATAAAAAAAAATTCAGCTATTGACATAAACGACAAGGGTCCAACCCTATATTAGTCATTGATCACCAAACAAGCAAAATATCCCGTGGAAATTAGTTTAAAATTTAGTCATAATGTTAGTAAATGAACACAAAGCTTAAGTGCGAATATTCATATAAGAGCGGATATAGAACCCTCTCCCACCCCATCCCATCCACAAAAAAAAATAAAAAAACGATTAAAAGAAAAAAATAAAAAAAAAATAAGAAAATGCACTAATTTCAGCTTGTTTTTTTAAGTTAACCTGATAAGATAAGATATTACAATTGCGTATAACTTTTAGTTTTTTTTTTTTTATTGTTTTACATTATGTATGATGAACCGTGTAAGGTGTGAGTGACTGAGGTAATCAATATTGCTGTAAAACACACTTTTCTAATTGATCGTCTTCATTCACTCCAAATATGTCTAACACTTCATCTCTGAGATTTATTTGTAGACAGACACATTTATTTTGGAGAAAAAAAAACATGTACTAAGAACTCAAATAATAAGTTTAATTTGAAAGTCACAACATGATGTGAAATCCATTTTTTGAAATGAATTTTAATAAAGAACTACGTAGAACCGATCTGATAAGTTCACATACGCTTGGCGAATGGACCCCCCCCCCTCTTTATTAAATTCATTTACAGTAAAAAAAACATATTTCTTTAAAAATTTTGAAATATTTTGGATTATTTCTCCACTTTTTAACGTATTCTTGGAATTATCTTTCTTCTTAAGAATAGAGATATCGGTAAAAAAAAATACTGCTATTGTTAAATCGTAAAGATAATTCCAAGAATACGTAAAAAAGTGGGAAAAATAAGTTAAAATAACAAAGAAATTAAGAATTTTACTTTATATTATTATTTTTTTATTTAAAAAGGGGGTCTATCCCCAAACGCATGTGGATAAGTCAAGCCGTTTCCAACTGATTTTTAAAGTTTCATCCTATGCTTTGTAGTTAAACCAGACTCATATGTTAAATTCTTTAATTTCTTTATGCGCCTGTCCATAGCCAGGTACCAGAATCTGAAGAAAAGCAGTAATCCAGTTGTTGTCTACCATATCTGTTTCTGTTCATTTATGGTGGTTTATTTCAGACTGCTTGTTTTGTCTTGTCTTTTGAACGGTTTTATACATTTTGTCATACCGGGGACTTTCATGATATGCTATCCGGTATTGGTTTTGCTCATTGTTGAAGTCGTACGGTTACTTGTAACTCGTCACATCTTTGATTTTTGTCGAGCCTTCGACTTTTGTCGAAAAAGCGAGACATAGCGATCCTACATTCCGTCGGCGTCGTCGTCGTCGTCGTCGTCGTCGTCGTCGGCGGCGTCCACAAATATTCACTCTGTGGTTAAAGTTTTTGAAATTTTAATAACTTTCTTAAACTATCCTGGATTTCTACCAAACTTGGACAGAAGCTTGTTTATGATCATAAGATAATATTCAAAAGTAAATTTTGTAAAAAAAAAATTCCATTTTTTCCGTATTTTACTTATAAATGGACTTAGTTTTTCTGCCAGGAAACATTACATTCACTATGTGGTTAAAGTTTTTGAAATTTTAATAACTTTCTTAAACTATCCTGGATTTCTACCAAACTTGGAAAGAAGCTTGTTTATGATCATAAGATAGTATCCAGAAGTAAATTTTGTAAAAAAAAATTCCATTTTTTCCGTATTTTACTTATAAATGGACTTAGTTTTTCTGCCAGTTAACATTACATTCACTCTGTGGTTAAAGTTTTTAAAATTTGAACAACTTTCTTAAACTATCCTGGATTTGTACCAAACTTAGACAGAAGCTTGTTTATGATTAAAAGCTAGTATCTAGAAGGAAATTTTGTTCCATTTTTCCCGTATTTTACTTATAAATGGACTTAGTTTTTCTTCCAGTTAACATTACATACAGTCTGCAGTTTAAGTTTTTAAAACATTTATTAGATTCATAAACTATCCTGGATTTTTACCAAACTTGGACAGAAGGTACTTACAATCAAAAGATAGTATAGAGAGGAATATTTTTATTAATTTTTTTCCTCATTTTTGCTGAGCCTGTGATTAACAGCAAAAAGTAGGCGAGACACTGGGTTCCGCGGAACCCTTACGAATTTTTGGTCTTTATTGACATATGTCTTATTGAAAATCACACCACCTCTCCTTATTGTAATACCACTGTTAAAATTTCATTCTATACAGGTTGTTTATGTAAGCTTTACAATCTTGATTGTATTCTATTCCTGATTTTTTTCCAAATTTTTGGATGAATGAGTTTGCTCGTAACGTCCATTGGAAAAATTTACATGCAAATAAGCACAAAAACATATTTATGTGAAATGAATGTAAACATAGCTTTGTGTTTGACCGACTAGCTGGTACAACAAGTGTATAAATCAGATCCTTGGTTTCATCTTTTGGATAGTCTCACATTTTGTGATGCGTGGTTTTCAATCAGATAAAAAGACAAATTCTGTGTTAACGCTTCGCTTATAATGTGGAACGGGGACCCAATTATTTCCCCCATTACTTCAATGCAATTTTATCCAAGTTGAGGGACATATTTTTTATTCCCTATATTAGACTGCAAAATTTCAGTTACTTTCTCTAACTAGTAGCCCCCTTCATGGTTTCTTGTGGGATTCTTGGAGGGTCATGACCGGCATTTAAGAGAGCAATACTGTTTTGAGTATTAATAGGGTCATTTTATTAACTTTCTGGTTAAAATCAAAAAATAAAATTTGGCCCATTTACCCAGACAATCATCCACCCTATGCATTTCAGAATCACTTAAAATTCAACAGAAGTTGAAAGGTTAATGAATTCCCTTTAGATATACTACAATTTTAAGCATCTTTACATAATTTTCATCTCGGTACAATATCTCATTTAAAAGATGGTAGATTTGTTTAGGGACTTCAGTCGTGGTATCCTGTAACTGGGATCCTATTCCATGTCTTTCTATAGTTGTCCGTAGGGAGACATTTCACCCTACTCGAACACATTATTCGGACTCCGAACCAACCAGTCTTTATTCTTTCTACTTAAGCCACGTGCTTAACGAAAAAGCAGGAAATACTAACGTTCAATCTCTTGACCCCTAATAATTCATGTACAAACCATTCACGTTTGTTTAATATATATATCTGGCAGAGCTCATTTTTCTCATACATTGATGTTGTCGTAAATTCGTTTACGTGAATACTTTTTTATATGAATGTACTTCCCTAAACCAGCTTATTAAGCTATACATTATTACAACGTGCGTATTATTCAATTTTAACAATCTTAACCTACCGTTGTAATCGCCGGGGAGTTATGTTTTATCTCTTCTGTTAAAAGGATCGGTTGACTGCAACCAACGTGACATTTCTATAGTTTTATGGAAACTTCTTTGCAATAGCTATAATAGTACAGTTTCAGTATACAGAGAACATTAGAACATATTTTCTAGTGGGTTTTTTACCCCAGCTGTAAAATGGTAGTTTTCAGTCTACATTTCGATGTTAATACGACCTTGAGAGGTGAACCTTTACCAAACTGTGTTTCTTTGTCATTCAACTATTACCTTGTAGTTAAAGCAGTCCATCCATACTGACTGGAAGTAAATGTGACTTGAGTGTCTTGCTGGGCAATTATAATTGGCAAGCCAGGTCTGCCTAAATGTCCGTTTTTACAAATTTCTGACAAAACAGTGACTTAGATTTTACAGACCAGATTTGTTTTTTGCCAAATTATACCTCTTTTTGTTCCTATACTACTTATGCATGTATTTAGGATAATAGTTAATACCTACGACCCATACCATTAACGAAGTGGCCATCAAATGACTCCCACCCCCACCTTATTTTGGCTACTTTTCACATTTTTCCGATTTTAAACTCTAAGAAGTGCATTAAGGTTGTCATATATCATAAAAACACATCAGGGAAGAGTTTATGGACCATGAATTGAATGGTTGAACTCCCTACTGTCAACACAGTTCAGCTGGCATTATATAAATAATATTTCCCTGGGAAACTCTAAGATTTCTGGTGCAAAATATCGGAAATACTTACGCGTGAAATAGTATCATCTTACTTTCTATTTCCCTGAGAAATGTTTCATGAATACCAGTTGATTATGTATATTTTCACAGGGAAATTTTCTGTTGTCTGTTTTCTATGGATATTATTCATTTTCGTAAAAAGATATATTTTTGAGGCTTTTCCTTTTTATTATAATTAATCCTATATGAGATATTATTTTTTGTATCACTAATTGTTCGTTTGATCCTCTGAAATTAAACTTACAAAGTTAACACACAGTTGTGGCGTGATCGCCAGTTTGCAAAGAATTCCGCTCAAATCAGTGCTACGGGCCGTCTTAAACTTGCAGTGAGGTGAGAGTTGTTTTGCTCCATGTTGAATGCCTCACTATGACTTTGAGATGAACTTCGGAAAAGCAATAAAAGCGCTGTTCCTTTGCTTTATG